ACCCCGCGTCCCCTGCATCGGCAGGCGGACTCTCAACCACTGCGCCACCAGGGAAGCCCTGGGTTGTCAACTTTATTCCCCAGGTCTGTCTACCTTGATATGGATGTCTCCCCAACTCCCCAGATAGGCCTGCCCTGAACTATTTCTCTTCCAGCTTTATTAAGATGTAATTGACATATAAATCTCTAATTGTTAAACGCATCCTGTATTTATCCCCATTCACAGATCAAAAAAATCAAGATCTAGAGGCTTCGCCCAGGTTACAACTAGGAGGTAACTGGGTCTGATCCGTATCTTCTCGTATTGCTGTTGACAGTAGCAACCTCTTTAAGGACCCTCCAAGCATCAGTCTCCCCCTCTGAGTCTATGTCCACTCTGCTCCCAGTGCCCAGTCCTCAAATAAAGACATTCTGAACACTCCCTGCCTAAACACTAGTATGTCTCTACTGAAAAAGAGACAGAAAGAGAGAGGTCCCTCCAAACATCTTAACATGGTACCCAAGGGGGATGAAAATGTTTCTGATTGTATTTTGATGCATTTTGGTGCATATATGTGGGTGTTAATGTAACTTCACCTTTACGTGCATCTCTTCCAAGACAAGATACCCAAAGGTCAAAATGGTATAATTTTGTGGTTAAGGGTATGAATGGTACAGAATTTGGTGAAGGGAGATGGATTTGCTCTAGGGAGCAGAGAGGGGAAAGGGGAGAAATACCCCCAAGAAATCAGAAATGGCTGGAGAGAAAGCACTCTGTACCCTTCTATGCCTGGCACCTCGCTAGTAAACCCCCCACCCCTGATGTGAATGCAACCATCCACCCCGTCTGCACCCTTACCAAGACAGCTGAGCAAGGCTCTGGCCAAATTTCACCAGAAATCACGCTCACCAGCTCCACGTGGGATCTTCGTGCTTCTGGGAACCTTCCACCTTGTTAATCTCCACGATGATTCTCCCCTGAGTAGTCCTCTAACTCCCTTTCTGCCCCTTTGCCCTTTGCAGATGACCAGTCACCTTCTACTTCATTCACAGGGAAAACAGAAAATAGCTTCCAAAATGTCCTGACACCAGAACCACAAACCTGCCCACTTGGCACCAACTTGCCTCCTGTTTTGATGCCAGAAGAGCCATCCCTACTTCTTCCGAAGGCCAGTCTCCCTACCTGTGTATGAATGGTCCTACCCCCTCCTTTCTCCCTCTGCCCCAAGGACCTTGGTCATTCCATTAACCATTCTTGTTTCTGGCTCTTCGGCCTCCCCTCCCTGCTGGACTGAGACATGCTCAACTCTCTGGTCTTACACACTCCCCCATCCCTCTGCAGCTGCCACCATCTCTCCTCCGGTCCACACCCATCTTCTGGAAAGGGCTGTCCTCACCCATCGGCTCCCCTCCCCTGTCTGCCATTCACTCCATAGGCCACTGCAACCTGCATTCTCTTCCCTCCATGCCCTCACCAACCAGTGAGCTCCATGGCACCAGATGCAACTGGCTTTCTTTTCCAGCCACATCTCATCTGTCCCCTCAGCAGTGACAGTCCAACGAATCCCTTTCCTTCATCTTGCAAACATCCCTCCTTTAGACTCCAGGACCTCGTGCTGTCAGTTATCTGCCCACCTCCTTGCTTCTCTGTCTCCAATGTCAACTCCTTCTCTGCCAGCCATGTTGGAGTTTCTTGGGTTCAGTCCTGAGCGTTCTGCTCCTCGTGCCCTACACCTTCTCCCCAGGTGGACCTCACCCAGTCTCAGTTTCAACTTCCATCTTGATGCCGCATTTCCACCTCCAATTTTGGTCACTCATCTGAGCTCCAGATCTGAGCATCTAAATGCCTACTCAATGCTCCCACTTG